ACTGATAATTACATTCCATTTTGCATGCACATTCGCACCTTTGCTCAGAGCTCAAAATGTTATTTTATTCCCCTTGGAAAGCTCTTTGCATTTGCAAATAGACAAGAGAATCCATGACCTTTTAATAGACAGTATGTTACTGAACAGTTACTGAACATTATAAATAGTATTGCCTAAATTGTTGCTGCTTGAGTTCTATTTCATCTTGGATTTCTTTGTGTCCAGAGTTATGTAAAAGTGTACTGCAACCAATGTAATACAGGCATACTGAAGTGGTTTTAAAATGATAATGGAAATGCGTAGGCACAGATATGGATACACAAATCCTGTGGGTGTTCAGAATGAGTATGAAGGGCAGAATTCGGTATTTGCCAATAACAGCCTTGGGAAGTTATTAACCCTTTACCAGCTAAATAAGCTTGATTGCTAGTCCTGAGGCAAAGCTGCCAAGGGTCCTCCTCCGGTTCAATAACCCCTCTCCACCATCCATCCCCTCCTAATACCAACTCTTTGTGTGTATCCTAAATCCTTGAACAATGAACTTTCTGGAGACTCACAGACTACCTTTAGGTAATTTCACCAGAATAAAAATTGTGCTTTCCTACTAGCTCCCTAGTTTATTTCAACAGTCAAAATTACTGAAAATCTACTCACTGCAAGGCTCCTCTAAGTGCTGGTACAGAATACAAAGAACAGCTAATTTTCTATTACCAATCATCTACTGAGGGGGATGACAAGGTCTAAGACATTCCTGCCTGCCTTCACAGACATCTCCATAGTGAAATTAATTATTTTTTTAAAAGATTTTATTTGACAGAGAGAGAGATCACAAGTAGGCAGAGAGGCAGGCAGAAAGAGGGGGAAGCAGGCTCCCCGCTGAGCAGAGAGCCCGATGCGGGGCTCAATCCCAGGACCAAGCTGAAGGCAGAGGCTCAACCCACTGAGCCACCCAGGTGCCCCAAAATTCATTATTCTTCATAAATTTGTCAAAAAATTCCATTTCTTTTTTAATCTAAACCTGTAAAGTGGGTTAACTATCTCCTAAATTGAGGTTCAGACAAGGTTAGTTACTTACCCGAAGTCACTGAGCCATTCCGTAGGAGACACTCCAACCCCTCTGATTTCTCATCTTGGCATTTTCCATTGATGCAGAAAGCAGGATGAAAACACTCTGGTCATGTAAAAGGAATGACAAAGCAGGTCGGGGTGCCAACTCCCAACAGAGCTGGGATAGGAAGAATTAAATCTGAATGGGGGAGGGAGGTGGTGGTAATCAGGGAAAGCTACAGGAAGAATTGGCCTGGTCTCTGAGCATGAGTAATATTTGGTAGGTGGAAACAGAAGGTGGGAGATGGCATGTCAAGTTGAAGGAACAGCATGAGCAAAATCCTCAAAGTAGAAGTATGATACAAGTCTGGGGAGCTATGAGTAGTACCAAACATTAGAAAGGATGGGGTGGATGGTCCAAAAAGTTGGGGACCAAACTGTGGATGGCAATGCATTATATGCTCAGGGATTTATCTAGAGGTTATGTAAAGCCACTGAACTCTTAATGAGGGTAACCCTGACTGTAATAGGGTCAGTGTTATGAGCATTTAATGAACAGAGTATCATCTTGCTCTCTAGATCTTAGAACTGTTTCCTTATTCATCTTCCATAAGCAATTATTTTGAACCTCCTCACTCAGGAGCAAGAAGTTCAATCACATCCTCAACTTGAGCTAGGCCATCACCTCATTTAGAATAGAGTACCTCACTGCATTCTTTTCCCAATCAAATGATTTCCATAAATCCCAATCTTGCAAGGAAGTAGGTATCAAAGCATTTTCTCTATGCTTTTCTCACTTGGGGCTTTATGAGCTAGCCTGTCAGTTAATCCTCACCACACACATTTGCAGTTTGGAAAGAACAATACAGAAACCCTTCGCTTATTCACTCCTCTGTAAACACTTTCTGCCTCAGCAATACGAGCTGCAGATGCTGCCTCACTGCTATTACTCATAACCGAGTAACTTGTCTCACAGATTCTGGGAAAGCTTTTGTATCAACAATACCAACTGTTTTCCTTTTAAGTGGGGATGGGATAAACACGTGTATTCCAAATCTAATTGTTTTATTTCTCTTGTGCTCAAAAAGATAAACCTACTTCATTCTTATCAACTTTTATTTCTAAGTTTTAGCAAAATTGTTTTTTTTTTCTACTTTTTTCCCCTATCATAGTACAGGGAAAGGTTGACTCTAGTGAGAATACAGTGGATATGAAACTGGTTTTTTTTCTGCCACAACATTGAGAATGTTAATTTCATTCAGCCCTTGGGATCATGCTCAACTCAACAAAAACAGAAGTTCTCAAAATGTACCTGGCTAGATCAGAAAAGATAGAATCGAAAGTTCAAGGAGCCATGCACCTTCATTTACTTCATTACCTTCATTTACGGTAAATGAATTGGGCAGAAAGGTTAAAATTTAGAACATTTTTCTTCATCCTCACCAAGTGTAGAAAAGGGAATTGTACAGTAAGAGATTCTTTTCTAATTCTACAATCTGTAACAATTTCTCATTATTTAAAAGGACCTGCACTTCAAGGCAGGCACGTAATTTATCAGCACACACACATTACTCAAAGCTAGGGAGTTTGATGCAATTTGTTTCTCCAATCTGTGTATTTCCAGGATATCCAGATGGAGCTGCCCAAGAGGGAGCTGGAAATAGAGGTTCAGAGAACATGAGTTCTGAAATTTGAGTCTCAAGTATATTAGAGATGACTAAATACATAGATCAGTGGTTCTCAAACTTGAGCAAGCATCAGTCACCCAGAGAGGTTCTGAAGTGTAGGGCTCATCCCTAGAATTTGGTTTAGTAGGCCCACATCTTTAACAAGTTCCCCCAAAATGTTGATGTCAGGTGAGGAACCATACTTGACAACCATTGGAGCCTACAGCAAAGCCTGACCTCATGACACTGAGACCTAAGCCAAAACCAAGTCGGACTGCACTCCAATACTAAAAATGGTTTATGTACATTCACAGTACCACTATCGCCATTCATAGTGCATTAGAAAATCGCCACACCATACATCAGTTGAAAGAGTTCACTTTATGGTGACCTGCCCTAAGAACTCCCCTAAACTAGTTATATTTACAGCCCTTTTATCTCAATATTCACCTTCACCAGCCCTCCTGAATTTAGGGACCAGATCCTCTGCCATGTCTTTTGTCACAATTGTCATCTGGTGTCATAGGAATATGGAGTCACAGGTCCTATGTGCATAAAGGACCTCTGGGAATCATTTGGTCCAATCTCTATACACATATAGACAATACCCTCATTTTACATGGGTCAACAGTAAGGTTAATACGAACTGCTGAAAAATGAACAAAGTTTGAGGTTTCCCGATCTTTCTACATCATGTAGGAGACTTAATATTAAATCTCAATTACACATGAACAAAATTGTTTTGAGACCTTTAAAATCCAAATCACTCTAGTTTGGTGAAGTCCTAGGAAAACAAAATTAAGCATACATACAGAAATTAGAAAATGTGTCTGGCGCACTTGGGTGGCTCAACTGGTTAAGCATTTGCCTTTGGCTCAGATCATGATCCCAGGGTCCGGAGACTGAGCCCATCAGGTTCCCTGCTGGCAGGGAGCCAGCTTCTCCTTCTCCCAGCTTGTGCTACCTCTCTCAAATAAATTTTAAAAATCTAAAACAAAACAAAACAAAAATCTAAAACAAAAAACGTTAAAAAAGAAAAAAAGGCAGTGCTTTCCTCAATTCAAAAAACATTTATGAAGGGGCACCTGTGTGGCTCAGAGGGTTAAGCCTCTGCCTTTGGCTCAGGCCATGATCTCAGGGTCTTGGGATCCAGCCCGGCATCCATCGTCCATCAGGCTCTCTGCTCAGCAGGGAGCCTGCTTCCTCCTCTCTCTGCCTACTTGTGATCTGTCAAATAAATAAAATCTTTAAAAAAAAAAATTATGAAATACTTATTGGGTGCCTGGGTGGCTCAGTGGGTTAAGCCTCTGCCTTCAGCTTGGGTCATGATCTCGGGGTCCTGGAATCAAGTCCTGTGTCGGGCTCTCTGCTTGGCGGGGAGCCTGTTTCCCCCTCTCTGCCTGCCTCCCTGCCTACTTGTGATCTCTGTCAAATAAATAAAATCTTTAAAAATAAATAAAAGAAATATTTACTATGTGCCAGGACCCAGGAGGACATACTAAGAGTTTTTTAAACCCAGATCTAATGTGAAGATCAAGTTTTTAAAAATTATGAACACACCTGTAGTGGGAACAGGCATAAGGGATTTATTCTACCATCCCAAACCATAATTTCTCTTCTCTGATTCCAAGCACTTCCATTCATTCCTCTCCATAAATTACTTTTATCAGGGAAGGTTCACCTATGACACTCAAGGTGAACAAAGAACTATCAGGAATTCACCAACTTAAAGTATAGGTATTTCAGGGAAAGATACAAGTACAAAGGAACTGGGGAAAGCAAGCAATTCCAAGAACCAAAATTTTCCCAAGAGCCAGAGCAACATACAGGAAAACCATAACAGGAAATGATAAGGAAAACAATTTAGGAGGAACCAAACAGAGTGCTTTAAACCATCTATTTTTAAATAGTACTCTTCAAAGGCAAGTTCTTTAACCTCACAACAGCTATTTAAGGCAGGATACAATTCCAAGACTCAACTTTCCCTAAGCTTAAATGCAATGCAACAGATAATCTTTCACGTATTTTTTACATTTTTTTCTTTGGGATTTGGAGAGACTATTTGCCAACCATAAATATTTTTAAAGTAATATCTGGCAGTTTTCTAACCAACTGAGTATGTTCTTTTCTATGATAAACCACCTCAGATCTTTCAGCAAGAAAAAAAGCCACTAAGTTTGAATAAAGATATCACCCAAAGAATTAGGACACAAAGTTTGCTTTAAGTATTTTTTTGGGGAAAGGACACTACACTTCTACTCAATTAAGAGAAACAATTTTACAGTCTTGAGGTCTTTTATTTTCTTTATATTTATCATGCCATGAATTCATAGGGAATGGGTTCCAGCAGTTCGGGCTCCTTTCCATTGGTTCTCACGAAATGTGCTTCTCTGGGTGGAGCAGGCTATTGGGAAAAAAAAAAAAAAAAAAACACCAAGGGAACAATTACAACAGGGACGTGATCTGTTTTGAAGTGTTCTCAGAAACAAAGAAATAAAATACTTAATTCATTCGCCTTTATATGAAAAAGAAATTACTACTGAGCAAGTTTTAAAATTCCGAAGATTAATAACAAAAACCATCTGTCAAGCACTCACCTGACGCTTCAGCTGAACCCAAGTACCTTTCTCTTTGGCTTCCTTCTTTTTCTGATCATTTTCCTTTACACGCTTCAGGAAGCTATCTCGGCTCTTTGAATGTTTAATATGCTCAATGCGGACATTAATTCTCTTGGCAAGAATCTTGCCCCTGGGGAGAATCAACATTACTATAAATGCTTCAGCAAAAATTTAACAAAGTCCAATTTTACTTGGCAATTTCATTTATTAAATAAACCATAAACCTTTTACCTACAAATAGGATTACACAGCAAGGTGATGGCTAATTTATAATCTTTAATTGTACTAGAAGAAAACTTGAAGCAAACACCTCCACTTTTTTTTTTTTTTTAAACATTTATTCACTGGGGTGCCTGGGTGGCTCAGCCGTTGAGCATCCCACTCTTGGGTTTTGGCTCAGGTCACCATCCCAGTGTCATGGGACTGAGCCGTTTTCGGGATCTACACTCAGCAGGGTGTATGCTGGAGATTGTCTCTTTTCTCCCTCTGCCCCTCCCCACGCTGCTGACGGTCTCTCTAAAAATAAAAGGTTTATTGGGGGCAGGGAGAGTCTTAAGCAGACTCCATGCTGATTGTGGAGCCTGACTCGGGGCTCCATCCCACAAGCCAAGCCGAAACCAAGAGTTAGATACTTAATGGACTGTGCACCCATACGTCACCAAACATCTCCACTTTCAAGCCTCCCCCCCTTTTATTTAAAGATTTTATTTATTTATTTGACAGATCACAAGCAGGCCGGGGCGGGGACAGGTTCCCTGCTGAGCAGAGAGCCGGAAGCGGAGCAAATGATCCCAGGACTCTGGGATCATGACCTGAGCCGAAGGCAGAGGCTTTAACCCACTGAGCCACCCAGGTGCCCCTCAAGCCTCCTTTTGATGAGGTGACAGACCTTGAAGTACCATAAGCCAAAACCAAATCACTAACTGAATTTACCACTTACACTTCTTTTTATACTTTGAAAACTAGAACTGCTTAATACCAAACCCTAATAAAACTTTCCATTAAGTCTAGTTCAATGTGTTTCCTCTGACAGGATACAAGGCAAACACCCAGTTTGCTTGAGTTTTGAAAGGATGTTTCCTTTGCCCCACTTGAATGACCAATAAAGACATAAGTCAAATTGGCAAAGTGAAAAGGGGGTATGAGGGAATACTAATCTGCTAAAAAGAACTCTGACATTACTTACTTAACTTGTTTGTTTACAACAATACCAACAGCATGCTGAGTAACATTGTAGACTCTTCCAGTTTTGCCATGGTAACATTTGTGGGGCATTCCCTTTTGAACAGTGCCCATTCCCTGTTAAGAAAGGAGATGAAAGTTATGCCAGCATTTCCCCTTCCTTTTACATCCTGGCTCTTATTTAAGTAACTAAGATAGTCTACAAATTTTTTCTTTCAAATGGTAACTCAAGAGCCTTCAGAGCCGGTGAAATGTGTTTTTCACACTGCTTCAAGCAATCAAAAAGACAATCATCATTAAGCTCCAGAGTACCAGGATACATTTAAATACCGGTCACAAAAGAACTTTTTACTGTTTATTTAAAAAAATAACAATCTCCATCTCCGTCTCCATCAACAATTACATTTTGCACCAAAGTATTATCCCTTTCTGTTATCAACAAACTCCTCATTTTTTTCATAACCCGTTAACAAACAAGTTAGGAGAAAATTCTTAGATTCTGGAATAGCACTTCAGAGACTCTGGTTTCTGAGTTAAATGAGCCATTCTACACTTAAGAGCTCTTATTCAGACCAAAGATTTTTCCCATTCAGGAGAATAAAAAGCCAACAGATGCAACACACATTTGAATTCCAATATTAGATTAAACTTTTCTACCTTCTAATATTATTCTGTAGGTTATTCACCTAATTTTAGAATTTACCTTGATGTCCACAATATCACCTTTCTTGTAGATTCGCATGTATGTGGCCAAAGGAACAACTCCTGCACCCAAAAAAATCAGTATCGTCAGTATCAAGATTGAAGTCTACCTTATTAAAAAAAAATGTAAGCTTACTAGCTTTCAACATATTTTATCTTTGACAGTTTTATTTTTAAATCTTGTTTGTAAGAAACTACTATATGAAATTTATGCTTTTTATTTATTACAAAAACATCTTGAAGTGCTGGTTAATTACTGCCATCTATTAAGAATGCAATGTATAAATGTATGCCATGTTTGCTCTCATAGGAGGGTAAATTTACTTACCATGTTTTCTAAAAGGCCTGGAGAACATGTACCGGGTACCTCTCCTCTTTCCCTTTGTGTTGGTCATTTTGGCAAATTACTGAAAACAGAAAGTATAAAACAGTCAAATGCAAATGCAAAACTGACATCTGTCTTTTTTTTAAAGATTTTATTTATTATTTATTTGACAGTAGGCAGAGAGGCAGGCAGAGAGAAAGGGGGAAGCAGGCTCCCCAATAAGCAGAGCCCAGTGCAGGGCTCAATCCCAGGACCCTGGGATCATGACCAGAGCCGAAGGCAGAAGCTTTAACCCACTGAGCCACCCAGGCACCCCTCAGCCCTGCATTTTTATACGGTAGATTAAACCCCTTCTCTTACTGACTTTTTTTTTCTTTTTTGGTGACAGTGTATCTTACACAACCATCTGTTAACTGTCACGAATCCAAATCACTTCCTATTTATTTCTGACTACTTACTCCATCACTCACTAATAAACATGTAGAGTTGAAGGGGAAAAACACAGGCTTTATAACTTCTGACCTAATTCTGACTGAGATTCTGCCACTTGCTCCCCTGGGAAATTTATATTTAAACTCTGATCCTCATCCGCAAAATGGGAGTTAATCAACTGCGGTAAAATCTACAAAGCATTCACGAAGTTCTAGACTATTTGCTGAACCACAGTAAGTTCATTATCATTATCTAAGAATTCACATACAGGCATCTCACATCAAATCTTTCACTGTTTCTCAAAAGTTTGAAACAATAGGTTTTATTGCTCTAGGTCATTCAAGAGCAGAACTACCATTACTGAAAATTACTTCTACCACAAGGCAAATATATGTAAATCAGGCTTAACCGGACTGGATTGTAACGTAATTTAGTCTCTTATTAACAGTTCTTTTTTTTAAAGATTTGAGGGAAAATGAGAGAGCGCACAAGAAGGGGGAACAGCAGAGGGAGGAGGAGAAGCCCTGAGCCACCAAGGTACCCTTTTATCAACATTTCTTAAAGAAGAGAGACGCCAAAGTACCTTAGTCATTAGCTTGAGAGGTATGGAAACACAATGTTTCACCTAACTCACCAAAGCCAAATCACTGATGCAACAAACGCTTCCATTACTTTTTAAAAAGATAATTAAGCATCTATCAAGTGGCAGATATTCTACTTTGATCCTCAAATTCTCTACATTTGTGTCAACTCATACCGAAGTGTCAAGTTCATAAACAAGGAGAGATGCTCTGCAGGCTCAAATCACTAGTAATAATTAACGCAGGACACAGCAATGCTGTGGATTCTGTAACAGGACCCACCGTAAAATGCAACCGGCAGTTTGCTCAACTCTGGTAGCTACCACTTACAAACAAGATTAAGAAATTAAAGAAAAAGAGAAAGGGGAAGGATGAGGAAGAAAAAAAGAAAAGGGTGATTAAAGGGCAATTCAAGGACTTTCTCCCTAAGATTCCAAATGAAACACCTAGCTATTCCCATGCCACCCCAGCGTTAACAGTATTCGTGGCAACATGAAAGCGCCTGAAAGCACTTTCCGTTTGTCCAAATGGGATCTGGGACCCCAACTTTAAACAGGATTAATTTCACACATTAAAGCCAAATGGTCTACAGCTCTTATCATGAAAAGCATCCTCTCTGTTCTGGGACCACGAGCCCAGGTTTTCAAACCCTAGGCCTCATCGGGTTAAAGTCCATGTCTTTACATCCGTAAAATCATTCCTATTACCCCATAAGCCCCTATCCAACAGCATCACAAGTTTAGACTTTACAAGACTAGCAAAAACACCGTACTGAAGAGTTCGAAAAGCACTGGGCCATGCGGCTGCACAAAGCCTATCCGAAGACCTAGAATACTGAAGCTGAAGCCATGGGGACACAGGAAAAACAAGTTCTTTCTCAGACTGACCCGAATTGCCTCACCCCCAGTGACTCGGCTTCGCTTTTCTCGGGTCTCTCCCTTCTTAGGGTCGCAGCCTTGCCGTCCGGTCCCCAGCCCCCGGCCGACGCCCGGCCCAGGCCACTCCTGTTCTGGACGAACATAGCTCCACCACCTAGGTCAGTGGGCCCCGGACAGACTAGACCGTCTCTCTAGGACCTGAATGCACGACCGCAGCGGCCTTAGGATCAGTACTCGAGTCTGTGGGACACGCGGCACCAGGAGCCACGCGCAAGTCCTACCTGGAAGATGGCGGTTCCGGCCGAAAAGAAGGAGGCGGGGCCGCAGCTCGCGCCTTACAAGGGCCTCCGGGCTGCCCGGACCACTGCCTGAAAGAAATGCCAGGAGAAAGCAACTCCTCTGGGAAAGGGGATCTTCTCAGAGAACAAGGGGAGGCTGGCAGAATATTTTTCTTTCTTGTGAAAAAAAGGCTATAAACGACACTTGGGTCTTTCCGGACAGCCCGGAAAGGGGCCTTCAAGGGCGTCAATCACGACGTCCACGTCCCAAGCGTGCTGACGTTCGCCTTTGCGTCGAGCCTTCGCCGGAAGAGCGCTTGTGTCGGCGTCTCCGGGCGCCGGGGAGAGGTTGGTGTGACGGCGTCTAATTGTTTTGCGGGGCTTCTAACTGCTCTGTTTGTTTGCAGAAATGATTACGTGGGCACAAAATAGAAATTTTAATTAGGCAAGCATATTATCCGCTTTCTGTGTCTTCAAAAGCTTTTTTCCCTATGAGCCAAGACATACCACGCTCTTGCTAGTGTGTGCGTAAATGTTGCATCGTTTTGAAAGCAGTTTGGCAAACAAAGTAAAACTGCAAATTTTTAAATACTGTACCCTAGTATTCTGTTTCTAAGTGTATATCTGGTAGAAACTTTGACAGGGAAATGAGGATGTGCGTAACACCACTGTCAGTAAAAGCAGAAAATTAGCAACATCCACCGAAGAGAATACAGTAATGAGATGTTCATATAATGGGATATGTCAGTAAATCAATACTAGACCCAGAAATTTGAGACAAAAAGAGGAAGGCGTAGAACGTACATAGTATGACAATCTATATACATAGAATCTTAACACATGTGAAACAGTACCATATGTTGTTTAGGTGTGTGTGCATACGTAGTGGAAGTCGTCAAGAAATAAAAGAGGATAAAAATCGAATTTAGAAATCTATTTCACGTCCACTAGAGAAGGAACTATAAGAGAGGTTTTTACTATCTTGACCGTTAGTAAGCTGAGTATTAGGAAATACAGGTAGCCCTTGTTTTATTCACTTTTTTGATATGTATTTCTTTTAAAGATTTTATCTATTTATTTGTCAGAAACAGCACAAACGGGGGAGCGGCAGGCAGGAGGAGAAGCAGGCTACCTGCTGAGCAAGGAGCCTGATGGGGGATTCGATCCCAGGGCCCTAGGATCATGACCCCAGCCAAAGGCCGACACCTAACTGACCGATCCGCCAAGGCATTCCGATTTGTATTTTTAGAAGCATGTTTTTAGAGTAGTGTTAAGATTTATTTTTTAAAATTTTTGAGAAAATAGTAACAGAATTTCTGTATACCTGGTACCCAGTTTCCCCTATTAACATTTTACATTAGTATGGGACATTTGTTACTGTTAGTGGACCAATTTTGTACATTATTGATAACTAAAATCCATTGTTTATTCAGATTTCCTTCATTTATTCAGACGTCCTAATATTCTTTTTCTGTTAGGATTCCATCCAGAATACCGCATTATATGTAATTATCATGTCTTCTGATGCTGTGGCGCTTCCTCAGACTTGCCTTGTTTTTGATAAGCTTGACAGTTTGAGGAGTACTGGTCAGATATTTCACAGCATGTTCCAATACTGGAATTCGTCTGATGCTTTTCTCATTGTGTTATTTTTATGACGTATTTTCTAAAAGCTAAGCAACAAAAAATCTGTTTGAATTTAAATAATATTACTCCACTGATGTTTCACATTTATTTGACTTACTCTCCTGATGCATTTGGATTTGTAATTTCTAAAAACTGCATAGGCTCCAGAATTTTGATTTTTAAATATCCTGTGACTGTAGTCTTTAGCCTTGAGCTCACTTTCTCAAGAACTTGAGAAATCAGGAGCCAGTCTTCATCAATTCCTTTTAGTACATTGACTCCGCCTCCTTAACTGTAACTAATAATTCCCTTTAGCTTCTATATTCTTTATCTGGCTTAATTTTTCGTAGCCATTATTACAGTCACTCCATCTCAACTAACTCAAGTCAGTCTTCCCTATCACTCTCCTAACAAATGTACTACCTGGGGTAAAAGCAACCTCTGTTTTCTTCAACACATAGTTTTAAGAATTAAGATATGTCACATAAAAATCAAGATTTCTGGCTCCTCTTGAAAAGGGATGTGGCGACATACATGGGATTGATAGTTTGGGTGGTAGCAATCCAGTGGTCATCTCATTTAGATCGGATATATATTCTTGAGTTTCATCACCACTGAGCCTACTTCACTTGTTTCCTTGTCTTGCCCCTGTGGCATTTGAGCTTTAACCCCCTGCCACATTCATGCTCAACAGTTCTCAAGTGGCGCCTAACATCCCCACTGCAGTTCCCAAGTTAGTTTACTTACCTACTCTCTGTAAGGTTTATCTCACATTTTTTCTTCAATAACCAAATCTTCCATCCCTTTTCTTCACCTTTTTCTCAGCTGATAATTGCTTCACTTTTATCCCTGTATGAACACGTTTTGGCCTTTCCACCCAAAACCCACAACTCTCTCCTTCCACCTTCCTGGCTCTACTTGACCTCATCTTTCCTTCTACACTGCTCCATATTTTCTTCCACCAACCTTTTTAAAAAAGAATAATTTGAAATGGCTGTTTTTGTACAACAAAAACTGTCCGATTTCAGCAAGGTCATATGGTTAACCTAATACATGAACATTACTATTTCTTATCTCCTATTGTGTTTTCAGTTTAATCTGATTTCTGCCCTGGTTGTGCCACTAAAGCTTCCACGTTACCAAAACCAGAAGGTTCTCTCTTCATGTCTTTCTTCACCTCTCAGAGCCTTTGGCCATTCCCTCCTTGAAACACTATCCTTTCTAACCACTTCACAGCCTATTTTGCTGATTTTCTTTACTCTTCTTGTCTTCTAAATAATAGGCTACCTCAGGACTTGGAACTAGTTCCCCTGCTCTTCTATTTCTCCATTCTCTTCTTGGGGAATTCTATGTATATCTATAATTTTAAATGTTGTCTTTATCCTGCTTACTATCAGATTTATTTTTTAAATTCAGGACTTTTCTCAAAACTATTCAGAGTAACAACTATTCTTGGATACCCTTCAATATCTCAAAGTTAGTGTCCACAATAAAACTTATGATTTCCACTCCCATACCGGTTTTCAGTCCAATGTTTCCCTTGTCAGTAAATAACATAAACCAGAATCCTTGGTTTCATTTTTAAGTTTTCCTTCCCCCTTACCATATCCAGGCCATCAGCAAATTTTGTCCCAGTTCCACCTGCAAAAATGTATTGAGAGATGGCCTGCCTCTTTCCATCTCTGCCAGCACCACTAGAATCTCTCGCTCGAACTAGCAATGGACCCATTAAGGTCACTTTTTTCTCTCTTCTGCTCTGTGCATTTTCTACATAGTAGCCAAAGCATAAGGAATAACGTGGAGGACATTAGGAGAAGGAAAGGAAAAGTGAATTGGGGGAAATCAGAGAGAGAGACAAACCATGAAAGACTGTGGACTCTGAGAAACAAACTGAGGGTTTTGGGGGGTATAAGTGAGCCTGGTGGTGGGTATTAAGGAGAGCACATATTGCATGGAGCGTTGGGTGTGGTGCATAAACAATGAATCTTGGAACACTGAAAAAATTAAATTAAAAAAAAAATCTAAACCTGATTGTGTCATGACTTTGCTTAAAGTCTTCCAAAGACTTTCTGTTAACAATAAAGTCTAAACTCATTACCTTGGTTTACAAGGTCCTGCATAAACCAATTCTTGGTTATCTTCTCAGGTTCACTTGGTTCCTGCCCCAATTCACTGTAGCTCCCACTGCCTTCTGTGAAGTTTCCTGACCCTGAACAGATCTTTCTAGCCTCAAGGGCTTTGTGCCTACTTTTCCCTTGCCTTTCAGATGGCTCATTCTTTCTCATCTTTTTGTTTCCTAAACATGAACATACTACATTGCTTTATATATTTACATGGTTAGGAATTTAGAAAGATATTTAGGTTATAAAGCAAATCCAAATGTGACCAAAATATTTGCAATTACTTCTATTTTAGGTAACTTAAAAAAAAATCTTTGTCATAGGAAAAATTCAATTCTAAGTAGTTCTGTTTTTTAGCATATTCTTTTATTTACCCACTCATCAGTTGGTCCAGGCTAAGTGTAACCAAAATCATATTACTTTTAGCCTAAGAAAATCATAATTAAGAAAATAAAAATAATAAACAAATCCAGAATTAAATGTGTCCTTGCTGTGACCCATCATTTTAGACTTTGTACATTTTTCTTGACTTAATTGAATATAAGTAAATATTTGAAGCCTAGTGTGATGTGTATATATGTGTCTATACATGCGTATACATAGACATGTATATATACATACATATACATAGACGTGTATGTATGTATACATGAGAGAAACATATTTTAATTATACACACTAAAATGTACAGATCCTAACTATAACATTTGTTTCTTTTTTTTTTTTTTAAGATTTTATTTATTTTATTTGACAGATCACAAGTAGGCAGAGAGAGAGAGGGAAGCAGGCTCCCCGCCGAGCAGAGAGCCCGATACGGGACTCAATCCCAGGACCCTGGGATCATGACCCAAGCTGAAGGCAGAGGCTTTAACCCACCGAGCCACCCAGGCTCCCCCAAACATTTTTTTCTAAAAATTTTATTTATTTGTCAGAGAGAGAGAAAGCACACAAGCAGGAGAAGCAGCAGGCAGAGGAAGAAGCAGGCTCCCGGCTGGGCAAGGAGCCTGATGCAGGACTCCATCCCAGGACCCTGGGATCATGATGACCTAAACCAAAGGCAGACTCTTAACCAACTGAGCCACCCAGACATCCCAAGTGGATAATTTTTGACTAACTTTTATAATTTTATAACCAGTATTTCCAACAAAGGTATAGGGCATTGTCATCCCTATCGAAAATTCCCTGATTGTCCTTTCCAACCTTTTCAACGGGTCCTCTTCCTCATCAGAGCCGCCCAATATTTTGATTTTTATAATTGTGGGTTTATTTTGCCTATTCTTAAGTTTCATATAAATGGGGCCTTACAGTGTGTACTCTTGTTTGTCTGGCTCTTTTTGTTCAGCCTGTTT